CCCCGTTCACGGCCCAGTCTTCTGTCTGCAGGTGAGCAGGCTTGGAGGTCCTGATGACGAGATGCTGCAGGTCGCGCCAGGTCAGTGCTGGGCTGGAAGCAAGGAGGACGTGGGGACAGAGGTCTCTGCTTTGGGTTAGCTTTTGAGGGCGAGATTTGGCTCTTCTAACTTCTGACGTGGGTAAGTTAGCTGTCTGGGTCCAACTGGTCCCCCCACAACCTCCTTCACTGCCAAAATGGGAGCAACAGAGACCTCCAGAGGACAACTCTCCTCCTGCCTCCGGCCGCTCTCCCGCAGTGTCCTGGGAGAAGAGGCTGGCCCACCAGAGCCCGGGGAGACCTCAGCTCCACACCCCCAAACCTGCCCGGTAGCAAAGTCCCCCTTCCTTGTCCCTGCAGGGTTCTGGCGAGGCACCAGGCTCTCCCTGGGGACTGTCCTGCTGCCGCGGCGGTCACCTACTTGGCCTCCAGCGCGAGGGCGATCATTCCCGCGGCCAGCGGGGCCGAGGCGGAGGTGCCCGTGTGCTTGTCGGTGCAGCGGTGGTGCAGGTCGGTGGTCACCTGTGGGGGAGAAGGGGGGGGTCTCGGCACTTGTTGTCTGCTGCTGGAGCAGAGGACAGGACTGGCTGGAGTTGGGTAACTTCAGTAAACGCTCCCTCCGGGTCCCTTGGCGCTTTTTGGGGTCTAAGGTACCAACGCTTTAATAAAGCCTCTCTCCCCCTCCCCAGGTAAGGAGGGCTCGGATGAGCACGCTCTGTGCTGGGAACCGGTGTCTGCCCGAGGGTCGCTGCTCTGGCAGAGCCGGCACGGCACTCACGATCTGCACCTCGCTCGTGGTCCTGCTGCTGTAGGTGGTGGTGAGGATGGCGGAGCAGCCCTCGCCGTACCAGGGCCTCCGGCCGCCCCCCAGGACGCTGGCCCCCGGGGGGGGGGAGCGACGGCGGGCGCCGTTGTCGTAGTTGATCCCGCCGTTGCCGGAGGCCCAGATGAAGATGGAGCCGAGGCCACCCCGTCCCTGGCAGCGGGGAGGCAGAGGGGGGGTGAGCAGGGAGTCCTCGTGCCAACGAGGTCCCCGAGGCCAGCGCTGACCTTACTTTGGTGACGCCCCTGTAGAAGGCCTCCGCGGCCAGCACGCCTGGCCCGTCCACGGTCTTCCCATCATCCTCGGGGCCCCAGCTGGCGCTGTAGATGTGGATGTGCTGGGGACGCAGGCTGAGGGACTGAGCCTCCACCACGTCCGTGATGGGACCGTCCAGCATCCGCACACCTGCAGGGCCAGGACGAGGGGTGGAAGTGTCCGAGAGGCGGCAGCACTCGGGAGGCCACGCCGGCTCCGGGGGGACGTGAGCCTCGCACATGCCTCGTGAACATAAGGACTGAGCGGCATCTCGCTGGCCCCCACTTCGCCCCCGCAGTTGCCTTGAGCACCTTTCACGCGATGCTGCCCTAAGGACATCAGGCTCCTGTAAGTCTGTGCGGCTGCTGCCGTGATCTTGTCCCCGAAGCTCCTCGTTAAGCCCTTTGCAATTAAGCCCAGTGAGTCCTCCCAGCTTTTAACCCCATTTGCCACGAGCCCGCACGGTGCTGGTGCTGCCTGCCGGAGCCCCGCGTCACGGTGGGCGTTAAACCCCCAGGGAGCGCTGAGCCCCGCACCACGGCCGGGTGTGCGGTAACATCGCAGCACCCTCTACCCCCCCCGCAAGCCCTGCCTGGGGCCGCGCGTCCCCCCCAGGGTGCCAGAGCTGGCTGGTGACCCCTGTCCCACCCGCCCGGCGGCGGCTCACCCCCAACTCTGGCATTGTACGCAACGCCTGCTCCGCAGATTCGGTTGTTGGCTGCAGCCGCCACTTCTCCCGCACAGCGTGTCCCGTGCCTGAGGGGCAGAGTTAGCGTGTGAGCCGTCCTCCGCGAGGGGCGAAGGGGCCTGGGACAGCCTCGGCCCCCGGAGAGATAAAGCACCCAGCACAGGGAAGGGATTTGCTTGGGCAATCAGCTGGCAAAACTCACCGGTTCTCGTCCCCGGCGGCGTACCTGGGCTGGGGATCGGGGTCGTTGCTGTTGAAGTCGTAACTTGCCAGGGGGTCCTATTGCAAAAAAGAGGCACTGGCATGAGCAAACTGCTTTTTGGCGTGGGTTGTGACTGCTCAACACGGGCTCCTGGCGCTTCGCCCGGTGTCTGGCAGCGTGGATCGCCCTGCCTGCCCACGAGCTCGCTGCCTGCCCAGCCCGGAGAGGGCAGGGGGGGCCCCTTCGCACCCAGAAACTGAGTGGGGTTAACCTGGAGCTGTTGGAAACAGGGCTTCACTAAAGGAGCATAACTCTGCGCGTCGCCGTACTGCTTCATCGTACCCAGGCTCACGTTCGGCGAGAAAGCACAGCACGGCGAGTCACCCGAGGGTGAGCCTCCCTGGCTGCGCAGTGAGGACAGAGGAACTACAAACCAGTGAAACGATGTTGTTACAAACAACACCTAAGATTTACCTATTCTTTCCTCCCGGCTCTCGGAGCACGTGAGGGCTTACCAGCTTTACTGGCTTTGCAGCTTGCTATAATTACATCTAATTTGGGGGCTTGAGCGTGTGCAAGTCCTAATGTTTCCTTGACGTGAAAATTCACTGCGGGAGACACCAAACCTTTTGATCCAGCCACGGAGAGGCTGAGTTCCCACTGCAAGGTCCCATGGGTGGGATAAAGGCACCAGCTCCCACCCTCCCCTGGAGACAACACGCCCTGAAGGAGCCGGTTCCCGCGGCCCGCGCTGCTCAGCCCATCGTAGTTACGTAGTTGGCAGACAGGTCCGGATGGTCCTTCTCGATCCCGTCATCCAGGACGGTCAGCACCACCCCCAGCCCGCTGTACCCTTTACTCCAAGCAGTGAGGATGTTCAGGTCGGGATTGATGCCATTGTTCTGGAAAACGGATTAAATTCGATCAGCCCCTGGGCGGCGGGTGACCTTCAAGGACTCTTCTGCTGCCTCATCACTGTCGGCATTAGTCCTGTTTACACATCAGGGAGGTGATTTGCTTGAGGATTAGAAGAGAGAGCGGCGAAATCTCACCATGTACCACTGTTTATGGAACCAGGGATCTGTCGGCACCACGCTGACGCTTCTCTTCGTGCGCCTCTTTACCGTTTGCTGCTCAAACCAGAGGACCTGGGTGGGAAGCAGCGTTGTCGGTGTCAAGGCAGAGCTCGCCCAGCACGGCACGCCTCGGTCCCTGCAACCGCCTCCTCCCTTACCTTTGGCTCTTTTGCCAGGCGCATATTCCAGCCCCAGTGCCTGCTCAAGGCTTTCTGCCTGGTGCCGCGGTGCTTGAAATGATAGTAGGGCTCTCCCTCCATCACCTGCAGGCGCAAAGAGCCCTTGTGAGACGCCGCTCTAGACAAGCGGCCGGGCTGGGGACGCGTCTTGCCAGCCCCGCAGGGGCCGCGGAGATCAGAAAGACGCGTTTAACGTGAGTCGCAGGCGGCAGGACAAGCGGAGGGCACCATTCGGAGAGGGAGCAGGCTCCCAGGGAAGGCTTGTGAGCGCCCTGGGGGTCTCCTCGCTCACCCGTGCATGCACAGAGGCCGTTA